GAAGAGCGGGAGAAACAACTCAGGGCAGAGCTGCCTCATCTCCAGGAAATCCAAGCAGCTGGCAGAAGCGAGACTAACGCACATTCATGAGCAGGGGGGCTCTGTGATAGCCTCCGACAGCTCTGCAGAAACAGCTCGTCGGGCCTCAGAGTTGGCCTTCTCCGCCTCACTGCTTTGGAGGTTGGACTGTCCCTGGGTGAGTGGAGAGGGGGCAGGAGGCGCAATGAGGGCAGGAGAGGAGTCTCCTGGGAACTCACCCTCTTTGTACATCATGTCAATTGCAGTCACTCCTGGGTACAAGCTTCCACTTTCGTCGCGGACAGGAACGATGAAACAGTGAGGCCCTAGGAAAGTGAGGAGACAGTGACTAATCTCTCCCCTAAAGACACTTCCCAGGGCAGCACTTGGTTATGTGGGGCCCAACACTCATCCAGGTCTATGACTGCACCTCTCATAACAAAGTGTAATGGCTACACGTCACAATAAATTTTATCGTCACGTGTATTTAGGGGGTAAGTTAGGGCTTAATGGTTCGCAAGGTAAACACAGGCCTGTGTGTGGCTTCCAGGGTCAAGTACTCACTGGAGCACTGAGAGTGAAGGCAGTGCCTCAGTTCTATGCCAAGACCAACCTTGAGACCTGCCATCCACAATGAGCTGGGCGAAGACCGCGGCATAGTTCCCGTGCATGGCGTTTCCAATGTACATCTTCACGGCATCTTCACACGGTGTGTGGATCACAAACTCCTGCAGAGGGAGCAGAGTGTGGGGACCCTTTGTGCTGGTGCATTTCAATTCCTCGGCTCAGCGTGAGGACACGGTGTGGTGCACACACTCGGGTGACAGAGACCACCAGTGTCATCCTGAGGCTCGGGCTCAGGCTCTGAGGTCAAGGCCTCGGTTCACACAGCCCACCCCCACCTCCCTGTGAAAACGAGTGCAGATTAAAGCGCTTTTTCAACATCACCCAATCAGGACGGATGAGCCTGATTCTATAAGAGAAAAAATCTCAGAGTGTGCCATCCAGGTTATCTTCAGAATATGATCAAGGATTCCAGCTCAAGACAGTCCAAAACTAACAGTGGCCAGAAAGAAGCAGGAAGGAAATGTAGGGTCTTTGTTTTGAAGTCTCTGCCCAGAACTCTCTGGAAGCCAGTACAGTGTCACAGTGGAAACACCCCCACTTCACTTGGCTCTCCCTAACCTGTCTGGGCCCCTGGGTCACCCTTAAATCCCTCATCAAGAAGCACCCGGCTGTAACTGCCAGCACTGAAAGCCGAGTTCCTGGGGGAGGTCGGGGACTCCAGGGACAAAGGCACACTTAATTGGAACTGACAATATTGAAGATGTGGCTGAACAAAACCAACAGGCTATCGATCATGTAAAGATTATCTCAGGTTTCAGATTTTAAAGTCTACAGATTCCACTTTCTCTTTGGCCAAGAAACACAGTCCTGGAGCCTAAGAAAACCTGCTCTGACATATGTTTGCACAGAGAAAACTTTGCACGTGCCAGGGCCTCTCAGACACACAAAAGGACACGCTGAGTCCTTTTAAGAGACGTCTCCAAGGCCAGCCTGGTCTAGTGGGCCAGCCAGCACTTCTCAAAGGAAGGAGCTACCTGAGGCTGGGTGCAGGACAAAACGACCAAGCAACAACAGCAGCAGCTTGCAGTAAGGGATGTTTACACCTCCAGGGAAGGAAGGGGAGTGACAGAAAACCAGTAACCTGGCAGGGAAGACCTGGTGGGGTGGGGAAGACCCCGGAGGCCACCCGCCCCATAAACATCTGATGCGCTCTGGGAAAGGAGCCTTGTCACTGTTGGCAAAAACACGCGATTTGAAAAGTTTGCATCAGCCAAATGCTGGCGTTAATGCAGGGCCCGCGTGATGCGTGCCATGTGTGTCCGTCCGACCCTGTCATGAGTCCTTGTTGAAGGCCAGCAGGACAGTCACTGCTGCGAGCACTAAAAGTTAAGATGGCTTTTGTCTGAGAGATTTTAGCTTCGTTTATTTTTGCTCTTTAGCATAAAGTGTAAAAATAAATCTCTTACCTCTGAACCATCCGTACCACCACCCAATCAATCCCTGCTCCAAAAATAAAAATAAAACTACTGACACCCAGGAATGGAAAACCAAAAAACATGAGAGATTGAAACAGTCCTGAGAGAGCACGGGCTCGTCTTTCACGCTCTAATAGTTGAGAGGGAGATGAAGCAGAAACAGAAGACAAGTCCACCCCCCTGTCATCCTCCGGCACAGTATCATTCACCAGAGTCCCCTCATCATCACAATTTTGATGCTGCAGCTCCCCCGCTAACAGTGGGCACCCCCAAAGCACGCCAGGGAGCTAAGTCATTTATGCTGTTTGGGGAGAATGGGACCAAGACAGGAAATGATTTTGGGGGAAAGTAATTGTAAGAAGAAACAATAAATAAGAATTGTGGGTGGGGTTTTTTCTTCTTTAGTGACAGCAAACTAGCCTCAATACCATGGTTTAGGGAGAGAAAAAATTATCAGCCCAAAACCAAAAACTGCTCAGTTGGCACCCACCACTGCAGGAAAGCTAAGCTGCTGTAGGCGGTCTCACTGGAAGCCAAGACCCTCTCGTGAACCACACGGCCACAGTCAGCTTCTTATCCTACAAAACAGGGATGGTGCTATCTTCCTACATTTACAAATATTGTGTAAATATGTGGCATGTTGAGGGCTGAGCCTGGTGCCCAGCAAACACATGCTCAATTCATGGAAGCAGTTCGCAGGCCATTCAGGGGACTGTCGTGAGGGAATGTGGCACGATATACAGAGGGAGCGTGACACGGAGCGTGGTACATGGTGGTAGGCCTTAGTCCTGTTAGCATCATGACCTTGGACATCACCGGCTACTGTAGAGGACTAGCACCAGGGCAGGAGGGAAGGCAGGGTGTCCTCCAACACAGCCCTCACCTGAGCCTGTCACCTAAACACTGACACCTCCAGCTAGTGTCCATGGGCCAGGATAGCCAACCAACAAAGCCCAAACTCTAAAGGACAAACTCAGTAAAAACGATGACCAGATTGAGGAGCCATGTACATACTCATGCACTTGCTTGTCCATTTACTTTTCAACCGAGTAGGTCTCGAGCCACACGTCTTAATGAAAAAGAAGGGAAAGGAAACACTTGGAGTAGGACTGTTCTGTGAAACGTTTGCCTCGGTTGTCCGAGTCTCCATGCAGGGCACAGGTAAGAATGTGGCACCAGCCGGGACAGGGGACCTGGCTTCTGGTAGAGGGGCCAAGCACAGACAGTGCCCCCCTGCCACATAGTGCCATAGGGAGTGCCAACAGCAGTATCTCCTCCAGGAAGGACACCCAAGCAGCTACAGCACGATTTTCGCAGAGCTATCACAGCACCTAGGTCACAAGTGCATGCGAGGAGCCAAGAGCAGTACCCGCACATAGTAGGTGCAGCATGCGTGCGTGACAAATGGCAGTAGTCGTGTGGGTGAGCACACACCCACCTCCCTGAAACACTCAGAATCAGGTATGAGTCAGCACCTCGTGCCAAAGGGCACACGGTAGTGTGGAGCTGGGCTCAGACAGAGGGCAAACCCAGTTCTGTGCAGGTGTGCTGCTGCCAGGCCATGAGACCACGGACAGAATCCTCACCTGTGCAGAGAGGTCAAAGGTAGCTTCGGTCTGGATCCTTTTCACGTTGCTGCCGTGGCCTCTCTCAGTCATTGCAAACATCCCAGTGTACTTCTGCTCCTAGAGGTTGGCAGGCATTAGGAAGGAACTGGCCAGTCAGGTGGCTGCTCTAATTGCAGACCTCTGAGGCCATTAGGGATGTTGGCAGAAGGAGAGGTGAGTTGGAGGTAATTATAAACTTCCAAGCTGGGGACAGCTAATGTGACCTAAACAATATGACAGGCTCAATGCAACATAAAAAAAACAGTCTTGAAATTCTCATTCCAAACAAGACACTTGCTGACACTAGCCCTCTGTTTTCTTTTTCTGTACACGTGCACACACAAACGCAAGTGCACACACCCCATCTACCATGACTTTTTAAGGCCCCCCCATAGAAGAAGACATCATTTGAGGTACACACCATACCTGGAGTGGCTGAAGCCACTTGGTTATATGTCTTGGGCTTCCGAGGTTCCTGACTGCGCCACCGAACAGCCAATAGATTATTCCACACTGGAAACAAGGAGAACGTGGGCCACTGTCAGCGACTATCAATGACCGCTAAGCGCACTGGTCACACGCCACTCAAGCAGCATCTGCTGGTCTCCTGGAGCCATGGCAAGGCTTCCACGCTCTCCCCAACCTCACCTGTCAGCCTCCAGTTCTTCTACAGATGTGGAAGCCTGTGTCACCAGAGAGTCAGGCCACCATGCCCAGGCTGCCCTGCAGGCCCTGCCCAATGGCTGCTCTGGACACTCGTCCTGCTCAGGGTCCAGCTCCATGCCTGAGACGGAAGCCATGTGCCACAAGCTTGTGCACAAGCCACAAGAGCAGCCTGCATCCACGCAGGTGAGTCCCACCGTGAGCACCAAGCAGGACAGAGGGCGATGAGACAGGCAGTCTATAGGCAAGGCAGCTGGCTCAGACTCCAGCGTGGCCACCCCTTGTGGTGAGACCTTGGACACACGGGCACCAAACAGTAAGTGCAATGAGCCCCAAGCCTTCCTGGTGCTGAGCTCTATACACACGAGGACACTGGTTCTCACAACAACCCCGAGAAGAAAACACTGTTACCCAACATGACAGATGAGGACTCTGAAGTTCAGGGGAGGGAAGTGGCCGTCCCAGGCTGTACCCCAGGGAGTGGGCACAGCCGGCCTTCAAGGCCGAGGTGCCTGACTTCTAACAGCACTTCGTGGGGCCACTGCAGGGATGCGATGGGGGTCAGCAGCCAGGGCTCTGTCTGGTCTGTCACGAACCCTGAGAAAGTGCTGCTGACAAGGGGGAGAAAGAGTAGGGTCTCGGCAGGGCCTCTAAACTGCCCACTGCGGCCAGAGAGACATCCCTGATGGCAGGGCAAGCTGGGCGAGAGCTGGAGCATGGTTGCTTTTACCTTGATCCACCAGGTAAGCCACGACCTGGGGACAGCAGGAAGGGCTCAGGCCACGTCTCAGGGGTTATAGCCCTGCACTCACGTTGGCCTGGCATAAAGCCCCTCGCAGGCAGCACCAATTCCCCTTGGAACACGGCCACCTGTAGGCATGAGGCCATTCAGCATGGCCTCAGGTGCAGAAGAGACGTGCCAGACCTGCAACTAAATGCCAGAGACCAAACGTGCCCCTATGTCATGCTGTGTCCCTGCCACGATGCACTGGCGAGATCTGTCCTGCGTGCCAGGCCCCTCCCACACATGGTCAGACAGAGGGTCTCCCGAAGAACCTTTGAGTGCATTCAGGGTCTTTTTGTTCCAACAGCAAATGGGAGCCACTGAGGCACTGCAGGTGTTTTGAGACAGTGGTGACCCCAGAAAGGATAGTGCTGTGAACTGAATTGTGTCTCCCTGCCAGTTCATAGGCTGAAGCCTCAACCTAGTGTAGTGGTGTCAGGATATGGGGCCTTGGGAAGCTACCTGGGTTTAGATGAGGTCCTAAGGGTGGACCCTCCGAGAGGATGAGAGTTCCTGCACACGGAATCAGAGCTCTCTCCGCCAACCCTCATGGGAGGACAAGCAAGAAGTCAGCCATGTACAGAAGAGGCCTTGAGCAAGACCTGGAGTGGCCGGCACTTTGGTCTTGAACTTCCAGTCCCCAGAACTCTGAGAAGTAAATTTCTGCTGCTCTAGCCGCCCAAGCTATAGAATTTTACCATGGCAGCTCGGGCAAACTCAGACAGATAGAAAGATGATTCAACTAAAGAAGAAAGGGAAGAAGGAAAGGAAGCAGGTCACGTTTCTTTTGGCCATGTGTCCCTCAGGGCCTTTGGCAGAGGCATTGGGCTCTCCTAAGCTGTGCGGATCCTGGGCACTGAGAAGCTGTCTCCCTGCCACCTCCTCACTCCCCGGCCCTCCTCTCTGGGAGCCTCTGCACAGCCGGCCCAGCACTGGGCTGTGTAAGCACAGTGTGACTGTACAAAGCGCTCAGGGACATCGGAGCCTTCGAGCAACACAGACCTGGGGGGCACAGGTGACTGTGATGAGCTGAGGCTGACACCCTGTTCAGGGGGATGACCAGCTCCCATGAAGGTGTCATTGGAAAGTTGGCAGAGGCCACCAGCTGCAGCGAGATCTGGGGATGCCCTGCCCGTCCCTGAGCTCACAGGAATTGCTCCCAGCACACAGTCTACCTCCCCAAGGGCTCCCTCCACTATGGGGGAGGGGTGTAAGCAGAGCAGTGATAATGGAAGCATTTGAAAATACCTATTTCTTTAAATCTACTTAAATTTCTTCCAGGATACTGAGGAGTCAGACTTTTTAAAAAGCTTTTCACCTTTACTGCTGTGGCCATGTCCGCTGTGGACAAAACTTCTCCTATGGCAAGGCTTCGACTGACAAAGTTCCTTGTCTTCTCTGCCTGGAAACATGACAGACGCAGGGTCAATGTTATGTTTTTTTGACCTTCTAAATTAACATTTGCTATAACAAATGTGTTACTTTCATAATAAAAACACAATCTAGTCAGAGTGATTTTTAAATAGAAATTAACCCCATCACCTGCCAGAAGTAAACATTTCAACCTTTTTATATGGTCGTCTGGTCTCCGACCCCATACGAAGTGTTCCGAGATGCTTTCCTCACACCATACAAAGGCCACTGCATCCACACCCAGGGCGGGCCCTGGACAGACACTCCTCGGCTTCACAGCGCCTGCATCAGCCTTGTCTGTCACGCCCCCCAAATGGAAAGCCCGCAGTCCTGCCAGCAGCCTCTTCGCATTGACCTCCAACCAGCAGAGGGAACACTGGCTCAAGTCCAGGTGGCAGTCAATGAAGACAGGATTGGGAAGGTCTGGGGACATCATGGACACAGGAAAGCAACACACTCCGCTCTCCTTTCTAACCTGGGCCGCCTCAGGCTAAGTCCCTCATTGTCTTGCGGGACATGACAACCACAAATCTCAAAGCTATAGGAGCACGCACTGCTCCACCCGTGACAAGTGAGACGGGGCAAAGCACTGTCGCTGTGTCATCTTAAAACTTCAGAGGCAGGCAGGCTTCCCTTCAAAGGCGGGGCCCTTGCCCACAGTCAGAGTCAATGCTAATATCTCCCGGGACCCAGCCAGCAAAGCCACTGTTCATTGCCTGTGCACACATGTCTGTGTGTGTGTGGTACGTATATGTGTGTGTGGTGTGTGTACGTGTGTGATGTGTGTACATGTGTGCAGTGTGTGTACATGTGTATACATAAGCATGTGTGCCTGTGTGTGGTGTATAACCACGTGTACATGTGTGATATGTGCCCGTGCACACATCTCTCTGTGCGTGATGTGTGTACATGTGTGCACATGAGCATGTGCACTTGCATGTGCATATATACTCATGTGTGTGTCTGGTGTGTGTACATGCAAGCATATTAGCATGTGAGCTGTGTACCTGTGTGATGTGTGCCCGTGCACACATGTCTCTCTGTGTGTGATCTGTGTACATGCGTGCACATGAGCATGTGCACTTGCGTGTGCATATATACTCATGTGCGTGTATGGTGTGTGTACATGCAAGCATATTAGCATGTGAGCCTTTGTATGTGTGTAAGCCTTGTGTACGTTTGTGGTGTGCATACACGTGCATACATGTGCATGTAAGCCTTGTGTATATATGTGGTGTGTGTGCACATGCGCACGTGTGTGTGCCATGCATACATGTGTGTGGAGTGCATACACGTGTGCATGTGTGTGTAAGCCTTGCGTACTTGTGTGTGATGTGCATACACGTGTGCACATGTGCATGTAATCTGCCCACCGGCATCAGGATGATGGCCGACCTTCCTTGGATGGTTCTCAGTTTCCACACTGGCTTAAGCTCTCTTGCCAAATGCGCTGTTTTCCCTCCCATGGGCTTCTACAGTGTTTCTCTCAGGCATTATTAATTTTATCAAACAGCAGGCTATCAAGATTTATGACTCTTATCGTGGCTCCAACCCAGTGCATCTTGTATTGATTATTTCCTAAAATATCTCCAGGCTCGAGCATGAACCATTGCTCTCACCAGAGAGTCAGTTACCAGCAAATAATAAAAAACAACTGTAGCTCACATTTGTGGGTTTTTGGGGAGGCCCCAGGTATTTCCAGAGCCTCACAATCACCATCCATGAAAGGCTAAGCTGGACAGGAAGTACTGACCCCATGTAATAGATGGAAAAGTCTAGTCTCAGGTAGGTCAAAAGCCTTGTCCAGCCAGGGTCATCCGACAAGTGGCAGAAAAAGGGCCAGAAAGCAGACCAGATTCCTCACAGATGTCTGGCCCCCAACTCTTGCTAGAGGAAACCTGGGACTCTGGTAGCCCAGTTTTTGTTGCCAGTCCACTCCTACTTTGTACCACCAGGTTTGTCCCCAGAGAGCACCTGACATCAACACACTTTCCTGAGCCCCACCCTCATGGTCATGACAAGCCCTTCCCCACCTTATATCTCCGCTCGGCTGTAGCCAAAATTACAGCCCCAGAGTAACTAAATGCCTCAGACTCTCCAGCTGTTCCGTTTCTTCATATGAAACTCTCTCCATTTATACGGTCGAGGCAGGCATATGACCTTGTCATCTCTGGTACCCACCATCATCTCACCCACCAGTGTGAAATAAATTGCAATCATGTTTGCTAAAGAATCAGCCCCCAATCTAGACATGTTAGAGCATTTAAATGGTTTCTGACTCTTACTTTCCTTCCCCAATCTCCGCACGAGACAGCGATCTTTGCTATGAGACCGATGGGAAAAGTCAGCAGGAGTTTGCCACTGACCCTCTGATGTTGATTTAAGCACCATTTGGCCTGGTCCATTCCAAGAAGTCAAGCAAAAGTTCCAGAACTAAAACTCAGCTTAATTTCATTGCCTGCCTTACTGGCGTATATTTTTAACATCTTCCCCACACATAAATGCTCCCTTTTCGTCAATTCTTCTTTCATTTCTGCTCCGTTAATTGTTATTAACTAAAGAATGTCTAATACTGACTAGGTTCCCTTCTCATTCAATTGTACTGATGCTGATCGCTCAATAATCAACGTGTGTGCGGGCATAGGTTTTTGCAGTATTTCTGCTGTGTCAGTAGCTGCCTCTATTTAGATTTGATATATTCAAGCCAAATTCAATTCCCATATCAGAATGTTAGCGTGTAGTGATTTTAAATGATAATGGTAGTTTATCTAAATTACATCCCATGCTATTTCCATTCTCTTAATAAATTCAGTCTCAAACAAAAGGAAGGTATTTTCCCTAAAATATTTCTCATTTCTTTGTAGAGCACTAGATATATCAGACCTTTATAAAGCAATATTCTGTACAAATCGAATTCTATAAAAAATGTATATCTTTGGTTTTGTAAGCCTGAGAGTCTCTAAAAGGCAGATATATTCTTCTTCCACTAAAGTCAACTTCACTCAGCCCTGCTTGGTCTATAACCTGAGCCGTCTTCTCTCAGATGTAAAAAGTCCCGAGCTGACCTTAGCTTTCTAATGTCAGGCCCTAACCAGCACATTCCCTCCTTCCGTCTTCTGGTTTCAATTTTCTATTTTAGGTATGTCTTCTCAGTCTTATTGAATACAAGCCCTTTGTTATAGCTAGCCTAAAATTATTTTAGAAAGAGAAGGGGTCAGAGTAAAATACACAAATAAATAAATGGGCTTCAAGGATTCAGTCACCCCGCTCTAATGAGACTCTGGCCTCTGGGCTAACCAGTCCTGACCCTCCCTCCAAAAATCCCCAAGTCTGGCCCCTTCTCTATCTCCTACCACCATCTTATGCCCGGACCATCCTAACAGCCTCCCCGCTGGCCTCCCTGCTTCCCTCTGCCCCAAACATCAGACATTGTGGTCTGTTTAAAATTGTCGTTATTAAGGTAAAATTTACATACAGTGAAATGCACAGAGCGGAAGTGCATGGGTTCTGGTCAATTACCTACCTGGATAACCATCATGCCAATTAAGATCACACAGTGTTCCCAGTCTCACCCCTCTCCAAAAGTGCCGTTGTGCCCCTTTTCAGTCTCCACCCCCACAGGCAACCACTGCTCTCTTTTTATCACCAGCATCAGCGCCGCCTGTTCCTAAAGGTACATAAAGGGAGTCTGGCAAATACACCCTTTCTTATCTGCCTTCTTTTGTGCAAATTAGGCATGCATGCTGCTTTGTCTATTAGCAGTGCCTTCTTTCTTATAGCTGAGTCCTGTGCCAGCTACGAATATTCCACAATTTGTCCAGTCTCTTATCGATGAACATTTGGTTGTTTCCAGTTTGGGGTTATTAAGAATAAAACTGTTATAAACGTTCCCGGACTCGTCTTCTTGTAGACAAGTGTTTCCATTTCTCTACTGTAAACTCCCAGGAATGTAATTGTCGGGTTAAAGCGTAGGTTTCTGTTCAGCATTGTAAGGAAATGCCAAACCGGCTTTCAAAATGGTCCACCATCTACCCCCCTCTCAACTCTCTGTGGCCGTTCTGTCTGCTTCGAGGCCCGTCAGGATTGCCAGTCTTTTCCATTTTTAGCTCTTCCGGAGGGAGTGTAAGGTCATCGCGTTGTGGTTTGAATATGCGTTTCTCAGACAACTAGATGCTCCGTTGGCCATGTGTATAGTCTTATAAAGTGTCTCTTCAAGCCTTTTGCTCATTTTTTAAAAACTGCATTGTTTGTCTTTTTATCATCGACACTAAGAATTCTTTATACACTCCGGGTACAAATCCCTTATATCTGGACATAAATTTTTGTCAGAGATATGCATTGCAGATATTTTTTCCTAGTTTGGGGATTGTCCTTTTTCTCTTAATAATGTCTTTTGATAAACAAGGTTCCACTTCGATAAAAACCCATTTATCAGTATTTTCATTTACATGTTTAGCACCTTTGAGGTCCTCTCTAAGACTCTTCTCCCCATCCTAAAGTCAAAAGCATATTCTCTTTTGTTTCCTACAAAGTTTATAGTTCTAGAATTTATATGTAGGTATAGAACACATCTCAACTTACTTCCCTGTGTAGTGTAAGTTAGGGATCAAGGCTAACTTTTTCTATCTTGTCTAGTGGTTCAGGCACCATTTATTGAAAAGACTTATCTTTTCCCATCAAATTGCCTTGCAACATAGTCAAAAAATGCACCGATCATATACTTGGGGTTTTGTTTCAGGACTCTCCAGCTGTCCCGTTCATCCATTTGTCTATCCTGTGCCAATACCATATAATCTTAAGTGTTCTTATAATAAGTCTTGAAATCAAGAGATGAGTGTCTTCCAAATTTGTTTCAGAATTGTTTTAGCGATTCCAGGTTTTTCTGTGTATCCATATGTGTTTTTTTTATTAATCAACTTGCAAATAGATGAAGGCACAGTAATGTTTTAAAAATTGGCATCATGCTGTGCTTTACTTGTCTCCTTCCCCTTCCTGCCCCCATCCTCCACTGCAAAAACCCTCCGATGACTCCCACAACTCCAGAGCAAGAAAAGCCAACCTTCCCACCATGGCCCTTCTTGTTCTCTGCTGCATCTCTGCTAGGGCCACAAAGTCCGGTGCCTGAGCACAGAGCTGGGAGGATTCTGTCACAAAGGCCATATGTCATTATCCTGCTTCTACACTCCCAGGGGCCGTGAAGACTCCAGGAAGACACAGTGCAGGAACGATGCAAGGTGACAGTCCCACGGCCCTGTCTAAGGACATTGTTCTCTTTTCACAGTAACAATGTTATAGCATTCTATAATATATAGAATTCAATATTATAGCTGGGGATTTTCCAACTCTTGCCTTAAATTTAATACATTTTCCTACCAAATTCCTAGCTGCTTTGGGAAGTTTTCTGATTATCAGTGTAATCACATAACTTGTCAA